AAGAAAAAATGGAGAAGAGATCGAATATAGGGTGGAAGAAAGAAATCCCCTTTTCAAAAAAACTAATAAAAAAAAAATAATAATCAACCAATGAAACAAAAAAATGTTACTAATGAAACAAATTATATAATATATAATATAATTGGTCTAGCCGAGTGACAAACCGCGTTATGAGTTATCAAGTCTGACAATAGGTGAACCGACTTAATTTTTGGAATCTCGCTATTTAACCCAAATTCATCGCTATTTTTCACCCTAATTTGAGAAATTAAGTCGTGGGCTGCTCCTTCAGCCTACAAATTGAACGGATCCTAGGAGTCCATATCCATTAGGGTTTTCGTTTTTTATCGCACATCTTCTTTCTTCCTCTTAGTCGCCTAAAGCAAACCCCAATTCGATAGGTCCAATACACCAATTTGTTACCACGGGTTCAAGCCCAATCCCATCCCCATCTTCGAAGAAACGTTTCTGGATCACGAATTGCAGGCTGCATCTTGGATTCTATTGGTTTTGATCGGTTTTTCGACGACCTCAACATCACGGTATATATATCTAAAATCTTTCTCGAACTCTAACCCTCTTTCGTTTTTCTTATATATATTGCTTGTATTCACTGTAGTTGCTGGTTTACCCTAATTCGCTATGTTTCATGAAAGTCTGGATTAATGGATTATTAATTTTGTAAATAACGTGATGTGTTTAAACAGGATGGTTGTTTCTTCTAGTTCTTGTTCGTGTTTTGTTAATCAATATATGCCAACCATCGATCTTCATCTTGATTTTGATATGATAATGTCTTCTTGATTTGATTGAGCTTATTCGGATTCCATAGTCACCCTAATATTGACGATGAAAAAACTCTAGTTCTATTTAGGCTTAGTCAGTATCTTACTGACAACTAAATCAAAATGTAGTCTTTACATAAATCTTTAATCTGTGTTCGATTATTATCTGCTTTTGAGTCTAATTTCTTCTTTAATCTCTATATCTGTTTAATTATCTGCTTTAAACCAGGCCCTCATGGAGATTACACCTATGGAAATTAACCCACTGGTCAACATAGAAATGCAACCAGAATATTTTCACACACCATTGGATGACATGGACATGGAAATGGACACAGAGCAACCTACTAAAAGAAGAAAAAAGAAATCAATTGTTTGGGAATTTTTCACAATTGTAAACGTGGGTGAAGGCGTTAGAAAGGCCTGCTGTAAACACTGCAAACAGTTATTCTCATACGGAAAGGGCTCAAAAGTTTCGGGCACCAGCCACCTCAAACGCCACATCGCCAAGGGCGGCTGCCCGGTTGCCCTACGTGACCAAAACCATGACCCGTTAAACCCATTGGCAGTGACCCCAACTGTCAAAACACCTAAACGCCGGTACAGAACCACCACCTCCACCACCACTGCCGCCCCGTACACCGCCTTCAACCCTGCCACATGCCGCCAAGAAATGGCCCGAATGATCATACTCCATGACTACCCACTTGAGATGGTGGAACATCCGGGGTTCATGGCTTTTGTTCATAACTTAAATCCCGGTTTTGAAATTGGTAATTTTGGTAGAATTCAAGGGGATTGTGGGGCGACTTATTTGAAAGAAAAGGAAAGGATTTGGAATCTGATTGAAGGAATGCCTGGGAATATTTCACTCACACTTGACTTATGGAACTCTTCACATACAACCGGTTACGTTTTCGTAACCGGACAATTCATCGATAGCGACTGGAAAATGCATCGGAAGCTACTAAACGTTGTAATGGAACCGTACCCTGATTCCGATTCCGCCTTCTCCCAAGCCGTTTCCGCTTGTCTTTCCGATTGGAACATCCAAGGGAAACTATTCTCCATCACTATAAGCCAGCGCGTTAGTGATTCTGGCCTCGATAGTCTTCGGAATTTACTCTCTGAAAAGAACCCGAATGTCCTTAACGGTCAATTACTCCTCACAGACTGCTTGGCCCGTTCTTTAACGTTTATCGTGCAAGGCGCGATAAACGCGGGCCAAGAAACCGTGAAGAAAGTTAGAGAGTGTGTGAAGTATGTGAAAACATCGGAATCATTAGAAGAAAAGTTTGTTGCTTTAAAACAACAACTTCAAGTAATGAGTACTAAATCTTTATCACTCGATGATCAAACACAATGGAATTCAACTTATGAAATGTTGGTTTCGGCATCGGAGTTGAAAGAAGTGTTTTCTTGTTTGGATACTTTAGAGCCCGATTACAATAAAATCCCAACTCATGAAGATTGGAAAGTTATCGATAATCTTTGCACGTATTTAAAGCTATTTTATAATACTGCAAATCTGCTGACATCATCGAGTATACCTACGACTAATATGTTCTTTCATGAAGCATGGAAGATTCAGTTAGAGCTTGCCCGGGCCTCCACGAGTGAAGATGATGTCATTAGCAACATGACAAAACCGATTCAAGAAAATTTCGATAAATATTGGAATAATTGTTGTTTGGTTTTAGCGATTGCAGTGGTTATGGATCCGAGGTTTAAGATGAAGTTAGTTGAATTCAGTTTCACAAAGATTTATGGGGAACAGGCGGTTTCTTATGTAAAGACTGTGGATGAAGGGATTCATGAGCTTTTTTCAAAGTATTCCGGACTTCCTTTGCCACTCACTTTACTAAATGGTGACTCCGGAATCGGTGATTCCGGAGTTGTGAAACAAGAAGATGGTGCGGGTGTGGGAGGTTTAGGGAACGGGGTTGGGCTTACGGATTTTGATGTTTTTATAATGGAGAGTACGAGTCAGCAAGCGAAGTCGGAATTGGATCAGTATTTGGAGGAGTCGCTTTTGCCAAGGATTCATGAGTTTGATGTTATGGGGTGGTGGAAATTGAATAAGAGTAAGTACCCGACTTTATCGAAGATGGCTCATGATATTTTGATGATTCCGGTGTCGAGTGTGGGCCCGGAATCGGTGTTTGAGAAGGGTGCGAAGGAAATGGACCGGTATCGGTGCGAGTTGAGTCCGGAGATGGTGGAGGCGCTTTTTTGTGCGAAAGATTGGATGCGTTGTGAAGGGGTGGAGAGTATGGAGTCGAATGTGAAGATGGAGTTTCCGATTTAGTTTTGGAGTTTGATGTTTAGATTTTTTTTTTTTTTTTTTTTTTTTGTGCAGGATATGGAAATAAATAGGTTTTGAGTAAGATGAGTTTAGTTGTGTCTGTTTTGAATTTGAATCGGAGAGGCTGTGTCTGGATTGGTGATTTGGAATGAGTTGTGAATACTTGGATGGAATCGTGTTTGATATGATGGAATTTGTGAGAGAGTGGATGGTTTATTCTATTAGATTTGTTTTGTTAGACGGAATTGATCACACCCTTCTTAGAAGAATGGCATTTTCTTTCCTTTTTTAGTATTAGAAAATTCATTTTCTTAGTTTTCGATACTAACGAGAGTTCTTTTTTTTAATCATAGAACGGGTTAATGGAATAAAAATTTGTTATAAAATATGGGCTTATTTAAAGGGTTAATGTTTTGGCCCAAAGTTACAAAAAAACCCTTCAGTTTTTGTTTGTTTCTGGTTTTCTTTAGTTTTAGAGATATATTTTATTTTTTTGAACTTAACTGGTTACCAATGATGTTGACTTGTTAAGAATGTTGTAGTGTTTGAGGGTTATACTCGAACCCTTAACCTCTGCTGATAACATAAAAATAAGTATTGGCTCATGTAACATGTCAGCTACAACATATTTCTTAGGTCCCGTTTGATATGAATCTTGATATGAATCTTTTCAGGTTCAAACAGATATTTCTGGATGAATGGATCGGAAAAACTGTTTGATATGCACAAAAAAACGTCTTTCCCCATCAGATATGTCTTTCCCAAAAAACCCCAAAATCATATCATTCTGGTTGAATATCCTGGAAAGACCATTATGCCCGAAACCCCGCCTCTTTTTTTCTTTCTTGGATTATTAATTTTTTTAAATAACTTTTTTTAAATTGATTTTTTATTGAACTATTAATTTTTTAATGTATTATTTTATATTAAGATATATTATTTTAATATATAATATTTATATATTAATAAATATTATTTTATTGGATTATTAATTTGTTTTAAATAATTTTTTTTATTTTCCTTTTTATGGATTAATTCTTTTTGTTGGATTATTATATATTCATACGTATTATTTATAATATATAATATTTATATATTAATAAATATTACTTTATTATATTATTAATTTCTTTTAGTTAATTTTGTTAATTCATTTTATTGGATTAGCACGTTTTTTTACAACACCACCACCATCCTAATTTATTTTAAAAAAATCTCATCCATTCCACCACTATCGAACATAAATCGGATCATTTTTCATCATTCAGCACAGTCAATCAGATGTACAATCAAACAACATAGTTTCTTTTTCAGTCAGAAAACTTTTCTAAACAACAGTTTACCAGATATCACTTTCCCAGACAGAAACTATCAAACGGTACCTTAGTATTAGTGGCAAATAAGGAATAAAAAAAAGTTAAAGAGTTTTTTTTTTTTGCAAACTTGAGCCAAAATTCGATAGTTTTAATGGGATTAACTCTTATTTATATAAGAATTAATGACATAATTAACTGTGAAGCATTGTAGGTGTCACTGTATAGTCTTATATTTCTAACTGTGTTAAATTAGATCCTAAGTTTTTTGTGTGTGTATCTCGATTTGGCCATAGTAGCCGATTAGTTATAGCAAGTACTTTGTCTATATGGCATGCCACAAAGTGACAAAGGCAATTCCTTACCCACCTTTATCTACATGGTGTTGATTTGGCGTTCACATATTATTTTATGGATTTTATATATAGCTTTAAAAAGGTAATTTTATAGTTATTATTATGATAGAAAATTAGTTTTGTTATCAATTTATGGAAACTAAACCGGACAAAAACCGACATATCACACAAACAACACAAAATAAATTAGTTTGGATAAGAGATTGCAATCCGCTTAGTTAAACTCAATAATTAAATGTGTGACGTCATGCCAGGACTAACCATGTAAGGTTATTTTTAAAAATTCAAGCTAAAAAATGACGGGTTTAATTTTAGCAAAATTATTTATTTTTATTTAATTGTAGCAACATTTGTTGATGATGAAATCTATGAAATAAAAAAACAAAATGTAACATCCGGATTTCCAGGTATCATCATTTAAGTATTTTTCTTTTGAGTTAAGAAGAGAGACTTGACGAGTTGACGCCTCAACTCGTCAAGTAAGGTCGCGACTGATGACTCGGATTAATGAATGGACTCGACGAGTCGGTGAGGCGACTCAACGAGTCCGCGCTGTTGGCAAAAACCCTAAATCTTTGGGCTTGAGCCATATTTAAAGACACTTATGGCCTTCAATTGCGACTACCTTTCCCATAAGTGAGAACCCTAGCGAGCTTGAGTGTGTAGAGTGAGAGGAAGAATTATCTTGAGCTTTTTGGTGTGATAGATCTGGACCCTTCTAGGTTCAGAGAGCCGAGAATATGAAGCTTTAGTAGAGTAAACCTTAGGGTTCAAAGTTAGGAAGCATTTATGGTATATATAGTTACTTCCATCTTACATATAGATATGAAGTATTTTATATAAATTACGTGCTATGTGTGCATATTATTTGAATACTTGTTGTCTATGTTGGATGAACGCTTTTATACATGTTTTAAAAGATTTAAACGGTATATTTATTTTATATCTACAAATATGTTGCGGATGAAACATAGGTAGATGAAATAGTTGGTGTGTGATGAAATAAAATGATGAGAGATAGGTGATGATAGAAAGGTGGTGATAATTAGGTAAATAGTTGATGATGAATATGTGATGTAGGATAAAAGGAGATACCATAACCTTAACCAGCAATGTGGCGATGTAGTCATCTACCAGAGTATAGATGGCGACCACGGACTATTCTAAACAACCCAGTGGAAACACCAGCAGACCCATAGCCTGTAGGTGATGAATTACGAGTTCAGGCGATGTTGTAACTACGTATTCATGTGATGATACTCTAACCCCTTACTATGAATTACGAGTTCAGACGATGTTGTAACTATGTATTCATGGGATGTCACAAATTTCGCATGTCAAACCAATGGTCATAATTCACATCAGTGAGAATGGTTTATTTTTTTTTGTAAAACCAAAATCAGATTGGAAATTTTGATTTTTTATTTTGGAAAATGTCAAACCATTGGTTTTTTTATTTCGGTTTTGGTTTTTTGTTTTTTTTTTAAATATATTTTCAGGGTTTTGTTTATGTTTTGTTTTTTTTTTTTTTAATTTTATATTTCATAGATTTCTTCATCAACGAATGTTGCTACAATTTAACAAAAATAAATAATTTGCTAAAACATAATACAAGAGGAGGTTTGTTCACATTTATTCATTGAACTTTTTAGAGGGAAACGAACTTTCGATTTTGTTCATATTTAGTCACTAAATTTTTTTTCGTTATCTATTTGCCATTGAACTATTGAAACTGTTCACATTTTACCCTTATGACCGGCTGAACAGTTTCAATAGTTCAATGGCAAATAGATAACGAAAAAAAGTTTAGTGACTAAATGTGACAAAAATCGAAAGTTCATTACCCTTTCAAGTCATTATCCCAAAAAAAATCATATTTTTAAGTTGTTAGTATAATGTTTTTGAGATGTGCAAACATTTTTATTTTTAAAATGTAAAATTATGTTATAAATAACTATTTTAACCCAAAAATAGTTTCTTAAGCCCAAAAAACAACTTCTTTTAGCATAATAATAATAATAAATATCCCAAAATCAATCGGGGGCAGAAGTGTGGGTAATCCAGGAATTCGGGGGCGGGGGTGAGGGTGGGGAGGCTGGAAATTTCAGGGGCAAGGGAGAGGGAATGGGGAAATTTTGGGGGTGGAGGCGGGGATACACTCTCCGTCCCGTGTGCCTCCCTTGACACCCCTAAACAAAAAGACTGCTATAAAAAGTTAAAAGAAAAAATTGCATAAATGGTCTTATGGTTTGTCATTTTCTTTGGATTCAATTTTCTAAATTGTGGTTTTGGTCATTTTGCCTAGTTTGGTATGGATTTTGTTTTGATCATTTGGACCAAGTTTGGTATGGATTCACAACCTCACCCCTACTTCTAGATTTTTTTTTGTAATTATAAGGGTGTTTTAAAAAACTTGATAGAAATATAAATTTTTATAATGGTTTGTAGAAGTAGAGGTGTTAGGTGCATTTTATGCACCTATTTTGTGTAAATATCTCGTCTTTAGCATTGCATTTAGGATCCAAAATTATGCATTTTACTTACTTTTGGTTATTTTTAGTCGATATGTGGAATACTTTTATTTTCACATTTTATGGTGGATTTCAGGTACATTTGAAGGTTGGAACGCACTTTGGGGGTGCTAAGGAAGTCCGAGACAAGATTTGGAAGCAAACAGAGTGGAAACGAAGAATTTGGAAAATTCAAGGAGTACCAAAATAATGGATTTTCACACAGGGCATGTGAAGGGGTGAAAAATAGGCATAAAAATCCACAATGGACATGTTGATCAGCTCACCAGGCGTTGACTTCACTTCACACAGGGCGCATGGATTTACTGTAACATCTGAATTTTCAGGGTTATTATCGTGTAGTTTAATCTTTTGATTAAAGGAGAGACTCGACGAGTTGAGGATCCAACTCGCCGAGTCGCGTCAGGTTTTTCACACGGATTTAATGAGTGGACTCGACAAGTCAGAGGAGGGACTCGCCGAGTAGGTGCTGGGCAGAGAAACCCTAATTTCTCAGGTTTGGGACCTATTTAAAGGTCCTTATGGCCTTCATTTGCGACCACTACACCCTGAGAAGCCATAGAGAGCAGAGAGGAAGCTTTTTGTGCAAGAGGAGGGCTAATTCATCATCCTTTGGAGTGTCTTAGCAAAGGGAAGGAAGGATTTCGAGTTGGGCTGTCTTGTGGGACTCAAATTTTCCATCATTTCGTTCAGAGTTGCTGTGAAAGGTAAGGATTCATGTCCATCTTCGTTTGATTTCATGAATCTAGGGTTTCTTCATGCTTTATTTAGCTTGAATCTAGAGTATGAGAGGTCCCATGGTGAAATGATTCTTAGATCTGGACCTTAAGAGGTCCATAAAGTCCCTTCCATTCTGCTTTATGCCTTTTCCTTGGAGTTATGAACTAGGGTTGTTATGATATGAAGGATTTTACCAAAATAAGCATAGAGAGCCTTGCATGTGTACCAATATTCGACCTTTTCGTGGTTATT